GGAGCGCTCCCTTCACTGAGAAGGAGAGTTCATGGGCTAGCGTTTAGCGCTCCCTTCACTGAGAAGGAGACTTCATCGGCTAGCGTGGAGCGCTCCCTTCACTGAGAAGGAGAGTTCATGGGCTAGCGTTTAGCGCTCCCTTCACTGAGAAGGAGACTTCATCGGCTAGCGTGGAGCGCTCCCTTCACTGAGAAGGAGAGTTCATGGGCTAGCGTTTAGCGCTCCCTTCACTGAGAAGGAGACTTCATCGGCTAGCGTGGAGCGCTCCCTTCACTGAGAAGGAGAGTTCATGGGCTAGCGTTTAGCGCTCCCTTCACTGAGAAGGAGACTTCATCGGCTAGCGTGGAGCGCTCCCTTCACTGAGAAGGAGAGTTCAGAATTGCACTTGAAGTTCAGCTAACACAAAATGTGCTTTCGTACAGCCTGCTAACGTAACTCATGTCTAGCTCTTAGGCAGGTACCTGAATCCCGATGGAGGACCGGGGAGTCTTCAGGTACTCCTCAGCCTTGGACACCAACACGGCCTTGTCGCACGTCTGCACAGAGCTGTGGCTGCCCGTGGACGCGTGCCGCCGTCCTGCCGCTGTCTCCATAGCCAGGGTGACGGCCTTGGTGCTATCCAGGCTGTCGGTGGAGTTGTAGAGCGCCCGGCCCAGGCCGTCCTGGGGCCAGCGGCTGGTGCGGGGGTGTCGGGCCTCGTGGTAGGCATCCTGCATGGACTCGGTGCTGCTCTGCGCAGTGACGGAGATGAGCGGTTTGGTGGCAGCCCGGGGAGGGACTGGCGGGGGCGTCTTCTTGTAACTAGGGGCGTATGTTACTGCTGGAAATGTATAGAGGGCAGTTAAAAGAGGGATTAGAGTTCATGACTTTACAGTAGAGCCCTTTAATCCCACTCCCGCTGAATTTCTGACCACTACCACCCGCTCCCGCTGTTTGTCTCTGTGACTCCCACCCGCTCCCGCTGTTTGTCTCTGTGACTCCCGCCCGCTCCCGCTGTTTGTCTCTGTGACTCCTGCCCGCTCCCGCAATATTTCTGTCCAATCTCGCCTGCACCCGCAGACTGTACGATGAAATAAATTTATATGCATTAAATGTTTTTTTCCAGTAGAACAAGAATGAATAAATAAAACAAATTCAACAAAAATCTCTCGACTTTGAATCGCAAATAAATGTAAACTCAGGCCAAAAATGAACCAGATGTGCAAATATCTGCACAGTTATAAAAAAAAAAACAATAACCAAATCTATACAACAAATGTTTAAATATCACATTATTATAAACAAACAAGAGCAGCTTAAAAACAGAAGAGAACCCTGAACCCTATTTCAAAGAAATACATTCAAACTAGCTGAACATCACAACTTAATACAATGGCTCAGAACAAACACGAATATATAACACAAAATAGTGTTGGGAAAACAGCTTCCTGTGACCGGGGAGTACGGAACAGGTGTGTCGCCTCAACCCTGAAGTGCCAGATTTGTACCCTTGTTACCTTCTTTGTTTGTAACAATTTTAAAGTTTTTCCAGATATCCAATTTTCCTCTCTTTTCTTTAGTTTCATACTCTCCAGCCTTAATTTTATTATCAACATCAGTTACATTCTCCATCCTGCCAAAAAACTTGGGACCCGCTGTCTATTTTTAGCTGCCCGCTCCCGCCCATGGCAACCTTAAACCCGCCCGCTCCTGCGAGATTTCCCTTGGGTCCCGCGGGATCCCAGTCCCAATGCAGGGCTCTGCTTCACAGATCAATTAACAGAATCTGTACCAGACAGTTATAATACATTAGAAACCCCTGGATTCTACAGCTAAGGGCCTTGTCTGATTTATTACTGCTGCTGTAAATCATTAACTTTCATGAATTCTGAGCGATAATAAGCCCATAAGCTAGCTATAATGCAACATAAAAGGCACTGTCTTCATTCACCTTCTTGTAAAAATCTCTTGTATAAATACTTGTATTTTTCTATATACCTTTAATGCAACATTATAAATAAATCCAGATCACCTCAGGCCATAGACTCAGTCACATTGTTACTGTGTGTGAATTCATGTTTAGTGTGAAAGATCCTCTGTGGGTGTTTCCTGAATCAATTTATACAACACTTAAGCTTCACATAGATCCCCTTCATTTTGCAAATACTAATAATAATAGGTAGCATACTCTAAAAGTGTGCCTTGTTAGAAGAAGGGAAAACCTGGGTGCAGATTAATGAGCCAGTCCCATGTTCCTTGCATGAAAGAAAAAATATGAAAGGACAGCAAAGACCTTATTGATGCAGAGTGAATGTGGCGAGAGTCATAGATTTGCTTTCAGGGGTCTTTCTGACATAGGTGGTGAAGTCTTTCCCTCCCCATAAATGCAAGGAGTTTACTAAAAGCTAATTTCCCCTTAATATCACATTACTTTCCAGGCACCACCAGTTATTGGAAAAGAAAAAAAAATGTATATATATATATATGACCTAGAACTCAATCTGAATCTCAGAAATCAAACCGTGAATGCCGACCTAAGATAACTTGTATGCGTGGGGGTCACGCGGCACGTCTCTCAGCGGAAACAAAGGGTAACACTTTAGTCTCAGCCTCTCATTTGCTGTGATATCATCATTTGTTGGTGATAGTGCTTTTTTATTGAAAATATCAGGTGATACACTGTACTTTATATCATTTTGGTAGACATTGCTCACCAAAAAGTTACGCAATAGTTGTACAAATGTTACAACCTAAAACTTTGCGATTTACGAACAAATTAACGAATACAGAGTAATAATAAAAATAAACAATGGACCGCATGGCATAGTCTAGTGTTGGCGCAGTGTTGGGTCATGGCTTGGGGTTGTTACAATCTGCCAAGCCGGGACTGGGGAAGCAGGGACAGGACTCAAGCGATCGGGAAACACGGGGTTTAATTGAGAACAGGCAGAACAACACAATGACGTTACAATGACCGGACTGGGGAAACAAATTGAAACGCAGACTAAATACAGAGGATTAATGACAACAACCAGAAACAGCTGATCACATGGGGATTCCACACGAGGTTAACGAGGGGGCGTGGCACACGGAAGGAGCGGACGATCGGGGCAGGACAGGGGTAATGTTGGGGTATGTTCTTTATCGTTTTGAAGCCATTATGAAAAAATGCTCTTCTTGTTTTATCCTGTTCATTTTGTGTTTAAATGCTAGACAAAACCATATATAGGTGTAATTTTTTGGGGCCGGGAACCAATTAATTGGTTATCCATTATTTCTTATGGGGGAAATTCGATCAGAACTCGAACTTTTTAGGATTCAAGCCCGAGTTCTGAACGGCTTAAGTTCGAGTTCTGAGGTACCGTTGTGTGTGTGTGTGTATATATATATATATATGGATAAAAATGCAGGCATATCAATATCATTCACTAAAGTTATCTAACAAATGACATCTTGGCATATTCTGTCATTGTCTGACTGTCTGAAGTATGATTAATCAGCTTCTATCTTAGAATTACAAATTAATTAAGAAACATGATAAATCGTTTGGATTAATGGCAATTCTAATAGCAAACTACAAAGTTTTTTATCCATCCATTTTCTATAACTGCTATTCAAGGTTGCCAGGTTGTCTGAATCCTATAGGTGCAAGGCAGGGAACAACCCAGGGTGGGGCACCAACCCATTGCAGTGCCACCATTCACTCACACATGCACACCAATGAGCAATCTGGTAATTCCAATTAACCTCATCATGTTTTCAGACTATGGGAGAAAACCAGAGTAGCCAAAGGAAACCCCAAGACGGCACAGGGAGAACATGCAAACTCCACAAACATGGAGCCATGTTGGAGACTCAAATCAAGGTCCCAGAGATGTGAGGCCACAGCGCTCCCCAATGTACCACCATGGCCCCACTGCAAAGTACTATTTAATAAAACTGGAGAATGAAGTAGAGAGTATAGAGAAAATACAGTGCCTCAGAGGGGAAAAAATGTTTGGTTACGAATAATTTATTAAAGACCGGAATTTCATTTCTACAGCATTTTCTGGCCTAATAACACAATAATCCAATCAATTCCTGCCATCTTTAGACCTTTACTTATCAAGATTTTGTCACTGTTTTGTATTTGAAACTTTTTTTATCTCTAATAAAATGTTTAAAGCAAAAGTACGACCACAAAAATGTAAAACATTTAGGAAAAAAATCATCATAAACTTTCCTCTGTTGTAAATCGTTATAAATACATCAAACAGTCTGATTGTAAGTAGTGGGACAACAGTCCTAGAACCTCAATAATAACTGAATGACAGTCACCCAACCAGGTTTCTTACAGGTTGGAAATGGTATGTATGGTTACCATGTCAACATACAGAATTGGTTGACAAAACATTCCAAATAAAGCTCAACCTCAGCTGCAAGGCGCGACCCATGAGAGGTTTGAACAAAGAGCCTGAAATGTCTTTCTCGCCTTCACTGGCGTTCTTATGCCACATTAAGGAAGTTTTACTTAAATGTCAAAGCTTGTAAGGATTTTCTTCACTGAAGATTTCACATATCATGCTACGTGGAGACCAGACAGCGGCCCCGACAGATATGACCTTTCCACATATATATTTTTCCACCCAAATACTGCATAAAAAAACACATAGCTCAAAAAATCCAGCAGTTACCCTTCAAAATTTGGAGCTCTGTCATAGCAGACAATCATCAGATCCCCATGGTGACAGTGGTGGTTTTATTCTTTAAAGGACAATGGCACTGTCAAGTCACATGATGCACAGCTCCTTCATATAATATGAATGAAAACAAACAGGCACCCAGACAGCATCTCAAGTCTTCATGCACAGAAAGGGTAAAATTTTGAGAACAGCTATGATTTCAAATGAAAGCTATTGTCTCTCATAACATGGTTATATTACCCATCAAGCAGTCACACCTTGTCTCAATTAAAGCTTTCTACTATTCAGTAGGAAAATAGATATAAATGAATTGCTGTATTTGTCTGAGGATATTATGAGATGGGCTAACATTGTTCATCCTACCAGGCACAATATTACATACAAGTGTGTTACTGAAGCAGCTGTAGTATGAAAACGCACCTCATGCCAGAGGCTGTCTCCCACTTCCCATAAGACCAGGGTAAAATAACCTAGAATATATTTTAATGATGTTTCTTGTAATACATTAAGCGGCATACAGTATGTTGTGTGAAACAGCTGTCAGCTGAATATTTCTATGTTGTGTATGTTACACGCATGCTTTGATTTTTCTACACTGAAAACATGCAGAGATTCTCGCAGATTGTCACACAAACTTAATTCACAATGTCATGTTCTCACAAACAGGCTGTCCTCAGGGGTTTGTGCGTATAACCTTATTCGCTATCGCAGCCAGCATGTTCCAAAATGAGCAGATCCACACCTTTTATTTGCCGTGCCTGAATTGTTCCTTAATCACTTGTATATAGTAGCCTGGGTAAATACGATGGAAATTGTGTTACGGACATGTTCTACTCTCAGACGTTCATAAGCAGTGTTTCTGCTGGTCAGTTGTTTCCTTGACAGCAGTATGGTTGTACTGTAGTATACTATCAGTATACTATCAGTCTCGCTTGCACATCACTGTGCAAAGGAGCATCTACTAAATAAATAAATGCAATGTAACCATAAATGAAACAGCCATCTTTAAGTTTATCACATACACAATTGCAGGTGTAGTAGCTGACAGACAATATTTATATGTGGATTTTTATGACTTTTAAACTTCTCGCACTTTCATATACTGTTACTGTTATTTGAATGCATTTTCACTTGTTGTCTAACTCTCTATTCCTTACTTTCTTTGGACAGAGAAGAGCTAATAATTTGGGAGTGTATCCAAGCTACCAGAGACCATGTGTGAGTGGTATACAAGGGGCCGCCCACAGGGAGCACGGAGTGTGAAATGATATTGGTTTTAGACATCAGAGCAGCCATTAGCATCTCTGTGTTAGCAATACAGTCAGATAGGCGACTTGAGGTGGTAATTAAGCCGAGAAAACTGCATAAATGCTACTGTAGTTAATAGACATAAACCAGTCCTCCGAGGCGTGCCGGATGAATAGCCGATTCCCCACGAGTGCCTTGTTAGCGGGGTCTCAAACGCCTCCCAGCTGGCCAATGAATAAACATCTTAGCAGAGGTTAATGAGTTTTTAGCCCTAACCAGCATGGCGGTCACTTTAATGTCACCTGATTTAAGGCGTGGGAGCCTGTAGGGGGCACATCTTACCTGGAGGCGTCTGTGGCTGAGGCTGGGTCCGCTCGGTACCACAGGGGGCAGGCAGACGAAACTGGATGCCTGTGAAGAGCAGGTGACAGCCGTTAGCAAGGACAGGTGGGCTGCTCTGACTCAGGTCCCCAGACTTCCCACGTCTACCCTAGTGCCAGACTGACTTGGATCGCTCCAATGAAAATACAACATCTCCGGATGACATTTACATATAAATGAGTCATTGCTACTTTCTCTCATTTCATTGCTTTTTTTTTCCCCTGAAAGAACAACATTGACATGTATGGAAGACATTAAAGAAACTGTAAACCCAGTTCTGTTCCGTACTGAGCTCTGGCAGCCTGACAGGGCTACTGCTCCCAGCTCACGAAGAACGTTCACATAACATTCCGGGAGCGTTATGGGAACAGCGAAACATGGGCCATTCCACAGTGCTCCATGTGAGTTGCTGTGGTCTGACAGGCTCTGGATAAAGGACAGTGTACATCACAATGAGGTATTAACAAGCATGCGAATCTTCTGGTCCAGGGATACTTATAAAAGTGCAAAGCTCTCCGAGGGCCCACTTATCCTCTCATTATTCAGAGGACGATAATGCTTTTTTTTGTGAAGTCTATTGCATGCATAATATAATTTTTTCATCACACTACTGATGGGGTGGGTACCTAGGCCCTACATTTTTTGAATGCTTTATGTACATTTTTAATAAATAAATCAGTGGAAATTATATCTATATATATATATATATATATATATATGAAATTTACATCTTAATGGTGTACAAATACAAAAGAACTAATAGATGAATGGATGACTAAATGACAGGTGGATAGATGAATGAATATTTTATTAAATTATTTGATTAAAGACTGTACTGAAAACAAAATGGATAAACATTCAAAAATCCCGACACAAAAATGAGAAGGAAAGAAAACCAACCGTAACCAAACAAATGTGTAAGTAACCATAACGAATGGTAGGTAAAGTGAAGGTAGACACACTGATCCAGCGACAGACTGACATAATCACATCGACATATCAGCTTCTCATAATGATACATTTCTTTGCATGAGCTTTGACAATAAGACAATATTCAAATCACAAAATATAACAATGAGAAACGTCATACATATAAATACAGACCAGCCAAATGGAGGAGAAACGCGACATCAACAGGGTACAATGAGGGACATTTGAGTCGACTGAGAGGACACAGGGAATTTACATCACTTACTGTGGCGGATAGTGTAGCACTGAGAGAGAATAAGAGGGTACAACCCTAAGTGTCAATCTGTGGCATTTCTCTGCTTACTCAAGAGGGAGCAAATTCAGTTCAAAAATAACGATGAATAGAGTCTCATAAAGGAAAAAAAAAAGTGCTCAAAGACTATCCCCTTAGTTTTAAAAGGTACTGTTACAGAACAGGGAAACCTGTTATCCCTTAGAAGAAATGAAGAAAGATACATTTCTATTCTAAAGTTGCCCTTCTACAGGACTATTTCAAGCCAGACCCTACTGCCATTGCCACGGCAGCTGGTCTGAGCAAGAGCTCAGCCACCTGACCATCTTGTCATCTTGTTGCATCTTGCTGGGAGTAGGTGAGGCTGTCATGACTCTGAATGGCAGTCGCTCAGGCTGAAGCAGCTCTTTTTATATGTGGGATGGGGCCAGGGAGAGGGGGGGGGGAGGGGGGGGGCACAGTTATGGACTGTGGAATGTGAAATGATTGATAAGCAGCATGGAGTGCTGGAACTGCTGTGGGTGCAGGGCTATGAGTTTGTTAGCTTAATATAGTCTGAGTACTCATAGCTACTAATTTGTCACTCTCTCAGATGAGTTATAAAACTAAGAGAAATGTGAGGAACAGCCCTTTGTTATTACCACTCGGAGTATATTATATTTTAGCCACATGCACAATAAACTTTTAGGATATTACAATATGTAGCTCAATAAGACTATATAGGCCTATGCTACCTTGCACTTGTTACTGGTCATGCATTGTTAGCTCAGCCTAGCAGCTGCACCCAAGCCAGTTCCTTGTTAGCTGTATGTTTATATGATCTGTCTCATTCTGTATTATTTGTGCATTATCTGTCTCAATTGTACATAGGCTTGGAAGATAATCCTTTGTTTTTGCCATTTTATTTTCTGGTTAAAACTGCTGGGATTTTAAAACAACTATCTCAGGAGATAACTGGTAAGGCAGATTTAAGCACTGTTTTTCTGTATGACATTGTACAATAACTACAATACAACAACAAATCAAAGTAATCAAATGCTCTTGCCTTCCAGCCAGGCTCTCATTATGCCAAAATAAACATGTATGCTCATTAGTACCAAAATGTACATTAAATGTCTTAATTCGTGTTCTGTGGTTCCTATCATTTTCGCACCAAATACACGGCCTTTAATAATAAACTAAAAAACACATATGTGGCATAGACTTAAGAAACAAGATGTCTGGGGATGTACATTCACACCCCCCACCCAGACTCAGAAGTCAAGCTTTTCACAAAAACACTTGAGAAACACTTGGTGGTTGTGTCTGTCAGCCCGTGATAGACATCTGCTGAGAAAACCTAAGGGACCTAAACATGGTCCTGTAATCAAGCTCCAGATCTCAGGCCTAATTAAATCTCCTGGGCATGGAGCTTAAAATAGCAGTAATAGTATAAAAAGAACATGAAACGGTGGTGCAAAAATGATTGTTTTAATTTTCCAGTTTGCCATTGCCAATAAAGTTACTTTTCCTGTGATAGCCGCAGTAATTGTTCCCACCGTTTGATCTATGTATTTGTATATTTTTGTTTGCTTCTTTACCTGCTTGTTTGTTTGAAACCAACGTCCAGGACTACTTCCACTCTTTAAATTGACCCTGCGACACCAGACATAATTAAGCAGCTACAGCGAGTCTTATGACGTACAGCACTGTGCACTTTCACAGCGGACAGAATCAAACTGCACACAAGCAGGCTTCCCACACATCAATTACCGCCCCACAAAACTATAACAAAACAGCACCCTGTCTACGCAGTAACGATGAATAACATAATCATTTTCATAACTGCTGAAGAAAACTTCAGCTTGTTTAATCACAAATGCATCATGACGCGCTATATAAAAGCCTCCATTATTTACTCAAGCCAAGCCACTGACTGCTCGACTGCTCTACCAAGGGCAGCACAAACAGTTTTAGATTTCAAAGTTCCTTACACATGATGTGCATTACACATCGAGCTCACGCAGATACAGGATAAGTCAGTAGCAAACTGGTGTACACATAGTAGTGTTCCTTGTTGCACTGCAGTGAATATCAGTAATTGCTTGCAACTGATCGAATGCATTCTCACTGCTATTTGAGTATCTGTTCCTGATTGTTTTGTACTGTATAGTATAAAATTCCATGTTGTTCAGAAAAAATCAAAGCATGATCAGTTCCATTAGACTGTTTGACATAACCTATCTTGTAGGGGTAGCCAATCTATGATGAATAAATGCAGCAGCCAGTTAAAAAGGGCTTTGTTTTTTTAAAAAAAATTAAATTAAATTATATATGGGTCATTGGCTGAAGTTAAACCATAAGTTCTATACTCAGGGTGAATTATATTTATTCAATTTCTCATTTTCTTTTTTTGTGTTTCACTTATTTCCAAATTTAGTTCTTCATACTGTATGTTTAGCATTTTGATGTATAATCATATTTTTTTAAATATATGGTGCTTTATGTTTTTTGTTAGTGAAGTAAGAGGAAAATGAGCCCTGTTTGAAACTAGCCCACTTTTACCATCTGTCGATCTGTAAAACTGCAAATCACACTTTTTTTTTTGTGACACACAACATGCGTTATTTTGGTTTAGAAAAATTACTGACAGACATTTCTGACAAAACTCTGTGTGTCTTCCTTCTAAAAATCCTTCATATTATAGAATGTATCAGATTTGGACATTGCATCAAATGCAACACCTGGATTACCTTAAAACTATTTTTGAAGCCAGTATAATATTCATATAAAATGTCAATTGAGATTTGATGCTATGCAATGAATTATAATGAATTTGAAAAATGCATATCAGACTACACATACATAAGAAACTTCATTTCTTAATGACACAGTTCTGGGAAATATTTAAAAAACAGCGACCTGATATTTCAAGGGATTCTTTCCTCAGACAACAATAGACCGAAAATCTTAAAAAAATAAAAAATAAAATCCTGTCTGATAAAATATACCTTTCCCTTCAGTAATATAATGTAATTTTTCTTTAAATCTTCAAACAAAAGCACAATTCCAACTAGACATGATTTTCAGGAAGGTTTAGAGGTAATAGTGTCGAAGTGCAGAGATTTCAAAGATATAGAATGTATCATATTAATTATTACTAATACAGCAAAGGCATAGATGATCAGTACTAGTGCCTTCCCATACTATACTTTCCGCCAGGAGTAAACATGGTGTCACGCGTCAGTGGCCACCTCATCTACAGCTCAGTTTGCTCACTCATTGCCTGCACATAATTTCATGGGAAGGGAAAATTTCTGATACCCGGAAAAAGATCATCGTTAAGCCTTACCCACATACCCTTTCCCAAAGAAACACTGCAAACTTCGGTAAAAATCTATTTGACATCGTCCACTGACATCTTCCAAGACCAAATTCAAGTTACTGGTCTCTTCATACAGATTAACACACAATATATATTTACCTCCCTGGTCCTGTCCCAGCTTAAGTTATTTGTGGAAATTCTATAACATATATTGTGGTGAGAAAAGTGTATGAAATAAAAGAAAGGATATCTACAAGGTCAGGGGTCAGACGTTAAGTATCAAAGTCCAGTCAGCTATCAAGTCAAAGGATGAAAGGCATGAACTCACTGCCAGATAATAGCACTCAATGTGTTGGAGGATCATGAACAAATAATAGAAAAAAACAAAGTAAAGCTCCTACTGTGTTAAAATGTAAGTCATATTAGCAGTGTTTCATAAAAATCTCATTTTACAGATTTGGGGTTTGGCCAACATAAGGCAGTAACACTTAATAGAAGTTTACATAATAGAAGTTGAAATATCTC